TGCAGGCTTCTCAGGTGGAGAGGGGAGGGAGGGTTGGGGATGTAGAAAGTTTGAGGGAACCATCCAAGCCTTTTTGCTCTATGAGAACTTGGAGTGAAGAAAATTGACCCTGAACGAGGAAGAAAGCTTGGACATAAGAGATCTATGACCGTTTGCTGTTTCTCTGTGTAAAACTATTAAGGTCGCAGAGAATTTGGAGGTCAAAGGTGCTGCATTCTGGCCATTTTGAGCCATTGTCTAATTTATATTGAGGCCAAATTTTTGTGCAGAGATTAATTAATCACTTCCGTTTTATCCCTCCTTTTAGGCCTAGCTTGTGTAAGCTGTTTAAGAGGCAGGTCAAAGGGGAGTCAGGTGAAATGCAAGAAATTTTGGATCCCATGGATTAGGCGAAATATGGCCTGAGGGAAGGGGGTCTTTTTCACCAAGGGTCTCCTGGGAATGGATTGTCCCAATGGAGAACCAAAGTTCTGAGTCCTCCTAAGAAAAGTGAGAAATCCCGTGCTCAGACCAGTGTTCCAGTTCTCAGAGAGGGAAACTGATCGAATACCCCAGGCCGTACGAGGTGGGATAAACTGGTCTGATTGAACACTCCAGGCCCTAAAAAGGGGGGATGAACCAGTCATGAGCGTCACCCCAGCATGCTTGATGTGACGAAGGCCTCTCTTACCAATCTGATGGATTAAGAATGAGGTCCGATGTGTGAAGCAATGAGAGCCAGCAAAGTGCTCTGGCTATAGATTCATCTTGAAGATGAGAGAGTGCAAGTTGAGGCAAGAAAATGACTAAGGCTATTCTGGACTCATAAGGGAGGTTATTAGAAAAGTGTCTCCCGGGCCCGTCCAGGTCACTCCAGGAGGACAGGGGAAGGAATCCAGGAAGTTGCACCCTCCTCCCACCAAGGAAAAGCCGTCAGAAGTGAAAGTAGAAAGGAAGGTAGAGTTCAGAAGAAGGGATGAGAGACTCTCAGCTCTTCACCAAAAGCCAGATACTTTGCTCCCTTCCTCATATGTGGCACCAAAAATGTTAGGAAAAGAGGCACATAACAGAGAGGAGGCATGAATTTACAGCCAGATGCAATTTTGAATAAATAAATAAAATAAATTCATAGAGGTGGTGACCAACTGCCTACGTGCACTTTGATGGAACAGGTGGCAGAAGGTCCCGATCCCAGGGCTGGGCCCTCTTATATTTTAGGAGGGCTGGGGATGAGGGTGGGGTAGGGGGCAGCAGGCAGAGGTGGATTCCTGGAACTGGTCTTTCAGGTGGCTGTGTTGGGCCACAGAACGCGATGGTGGAGTATGAAGGCAATAGGATGTGAGACTCAAATGAGATTCAAGGGCAAGGAATACATTTCATTGTTTATCTACCTTTTGGGCAGTGAGCAAGAATGGCTAAAGCTTGTGTCTTTGTTCCATAGCTGGTTATGTCATAAAGTGTGAAAGGAGAAAAATTTGGATCTAACCAAAGATTGCCATCTTACAATGGAAGTCCCCTTATATCAATTTTAAAAATCAACTTGTGGGCACTTATTTCCAATACAGTCATTTTGAAGTTGGTTTATACCAAAAAAGTGTTAAAAATTTGAGAATAAGTTAGACATTTGGAAAGTACATTAATTATATGAAGCCGTTAGGGGATAATGATTAAAAAATAATGAAAACCCTGAGGAACTAAGAGGCTTTAAATTAAACTCTAAATTTTCGTAACTTTAGCTAAGCATTTTCTTGTGCATTTTGAAGCACTTTTTATTATATATTAATGAAGTTGCAATACATTATTTTCTTCATTACAAATAACTTTAATCTGCCAATCACTGGTTAATAAAGTTTTATCAAGTCTTAGCTTCTTATTAGGCATCTGCTATTTTCTTTTTGATAAAAACAACAATGCTAGATAGCCTGCATTTACTTTATTTATTTTTTTAAAGATTTATTTATTTATTTGAAATTCACAGTTATACAGAGAGAGAAGGAGAGGCAGAGAGAGAGAGAGAGAGAGAGAGAGAGAGAGAGAGAGATGTTCCATCAGCTGGTTCATTCCCAATTGGCCGCAACAGCCAGAGCTGCGCCAATCCGAAGCTAGGAGCCAGGAGCTTCTTCCAGGTCTCCCACGTGGGTGCAGGGGCCCAAGGACTTGGGCCATCTTCTATTGCTTTCCCAGGCCATAGCAGAGAGCAGGATTGGAGGTGGAGCAGCCAGGGCACGAACCAGTTTCCATATGAGATGCCGGCACTGCAGGCAGCGGCTTTACCCAGTATGCCACAGTGCTGGCCCCTGCATTTACTATAGGTATGAAGATTAATCTATAAAATTATTTCCTGATGGTGATAATCAATGAATGTTTAAGTGTAGAACATTGTTTTCTGTCGATGAACAAAATGCTTACATCAAAGGAACTTTATCAGTCTCTTTTATTTAACTTATTTATTTCTCCTTTTCTTAGTTTTATAAACGCGGTCTTCTCCAGAGTCTCTGGTGGTGACTGCTGTCTAAGCAATCAGGTTGTAATGAACACCCTGTAGACAAGACAGATGACACTTTCCTTGGACAGCAGGAACATAGAGGATGAAAAATCAGGGGCTGAGATCTGCACATCTCAGCCATGTTTCTACAAACACCTAGAAATAATTTCTCTCTATTTTTTCCCTTTATACAAAGATCATTAAATGTCAAAAAGCAACCCTTAGGTTGATTCCATATCTTGTTATTGTGAACAGTGATGGTATAAACATGAGCGAGAAAAAAAATAAGTTTTATTTTATTTATTTATTTGAAGGGCAGAGTTAAAGAGACAGAGAAAAAAAAGAGGGAGTGTTCCATTTACAGGTTCACTCTCCAAATGGCCACAAAAACCGAGGCTGGTCCAGGCTGAAACCAGGAGCCAGGAATTCCATCTGAGTCTTCCACATGGATTGCAGGGGCTCAAGTATTTGGACCATTTTCTGCTGCTTTCCCAAGCTTAATCAGAAGTGTGGCAAATGACACGGTGGCAAAAAACAATCTAAATGAAAGATCCTGGTGAACAAGACCCAGGAGAAGGATCAGGCCATCAAGGAGAGAGGCGCCTATCTCTGAAGGGAGGAAGGAACCTCCACTGTGATACGGCCTTAACTAAATAAATAAAGAGTTGGTGAACTCAAGGGGCTTCCGTAGCCTAGACAGCTCATAGCAAGAGTCTCGGGTGATTGTTGACATCATAAATAAGAGTGCCAATTGTTAAATCAACAATGGGTGTCACTGGGTTCATGCTCCCCACGCAGGATCTCTGTCCTTAATGTGTTTAACTATGAAACTCAAAAACAACACTACTAGTCGAACAATACCCTATACCTGGTTCGGTTGTCTGAGTGCAGCCTGTTGAAATCCTTGCTTAGTATATACTAAGTTGATCTTCAGTATATGAAGTATATTACGTGATGAAGGGCGGGATGGGAGAGGGAGTGGGTGAGGGGAGGGCCACGGGAGGGAGGGAGGTTGTGGGGGGAAGCCACAACAATACAAAAGTTGCATTTTATATTCTACTTAAAACTATGGTTGAACTCTGTAATTAATACACAATTACTCTTAGGTGTTTAATTAATGCTATAACTAGTACTCAAATAGTATTTCACACTTTGTGTTTCTGTGTGGGAGCAAAATGTGGAAATCTTTACTTAATATACGCTAAATTGATCTTCTGTATATAAAGATAATTGAAAATTAATCTTGATATGAAAGGGAAGGGGAGAGGGAGTGGGAGAGGGGAGCGTTGTGGGTGGGAGGGAAGTTACAGAGGGGAGGAAGCTATTGTAATCCATAAGCTGTACTTTGGAAATTTATGCTCATTAAATAAATAAAAAAAAGAAGTGTGGCAACTGAGACTTGAATCATTGTTCATATAGTATGTCTGCATCGCAGGCAGTGGCTTAACTTGTTGTTCCACAATGCTGGCGCCAGATAGCATTACTACACACTGATTTCAAGGATAAAGAAATGGATAAAGAAAATGTCATCTATGTGCATACATATATATGAGTACAAAGGAGCATTATTCATCCAGATAAAAGAAGGGAACCTTGTCATTTGCTATTACTCTTACATGGAACTGGTTGAGCTGCTTAGACATATAGAGTACTGTATTTCACTCAAATGTGGGATCTCTGAACTCTGTGAGAGGAAGCAAAGTTGCTGACAATCCTGATTAATAGGACAAACCCTGGCATCTTTAGGAAGAGCATCAAAGAGCAGAGTTTGGGTCCATGGGAAAAAGTCTGTGTGCACTTGCTTAAAAAGTAAGCAAAAGACATTTACTGCCCAAAGCATTTTTAAGTGACATAACCCCATTTGTAAAAATCATTTTTATATTATTTTCTAACTTCTCCACAATTATCATGCCTGGCTTTTATGATCTAAAACTGAAGCCCTTTAAAAAAAAGTACTCTAGTGTTAAGCTATCAGGGAAAATATTGAGGAAAATATACTGCTTAGAATTATTAATCATTTGAAGATATGCAATGGCCAACTTAAGATTTCTCTCAGTTAGGATGCAAGAAGTTATGAACAATGATAAATCACTCACTTGAATGTAATTGTAATACATAACTATTTTTTTCTTTTCTTTTTTTTAAACTTTTATTTAATGAATATAAATTTCCAAAGTACAGCTTATGGATTACAATGGCTTTCCCCCCATAACATCCCTCCCACCCACAGCCCTCCCCTTTCCCACTCCCTCACCCCTTCCATTCACATCAAGATTCATTTTCATTTCTCTTTATAAACAGAAGATCAGTTTAGCATACATTAAGTAAAGATTTCAACAGTTTGCTCCCACACAGAAACATAAAGTGAAAAATACTGTTTGAGTACTAGTTATAGTATTAAATCTCAATGTAAAGCACACTAAGGACAAAGATCCTACATGAGGAGTAAGTGCACAGTGACTCCTGTTGTTGACTTAACAAATTAACACTCTTGTTTATGGCATCAGTAATCACCCTAGGCTCTTGTCATGAGCTGCCAAGGCTATGGAAGCCCCCTGAGTTCACTGACTCTGGTCATATTTAGACAAGGCCATGGTCAAAGTGGAAGTTCTCTCCTCCCTTCAGAGAAAGGTACCTCCTTCTTTGATGACCCGTTCTTTCCACTGGGATCTCACTCGCAGAGATCTTTCATTTATTTTTTTTCCCCCCAGAGTGTCTTGGCTTTCCATGCCTGAAATAGTCTCATGGGCTTTTCAGCCGGATCCACATGCCTTAAGGGCTGATTCTGAGGCCAGAGTGCTGTTAGGACATTTGCCATTCTATGGGTCTGCTGTGTATCTCACTTCCCATGTAGGATCATTCTCTCCCTTTTTTATTCTATCAGCTAGTATTTGCAGACACTATTCTTGTTTCTGTGATCCCTTTGGTTCTTAGTCCTATCATTATGATCAATTGTGAACAGAAATTGATCACTGGGACTAGTGAGATGGCATTGGTACATGCCACCTTGATGGGATTGAATTGGAATCCCGTGGTATGTTTCCAACTCTACCATTTGAGGTAAGTCAGCTTGAGCAAATACATAACTACTTATACCTTTATCATATGTGTACAAGTACTAGGGGAAGTAGTCTATAAAATAGTATTAAGTAATAGAAATATGAGAGCTAATATTGACAAACTCATAAATTATGTGCAATGAAAGATTGAATATTTAAGGACATAAGTTTTCTGAAAGTAATTGATATATATCTACACCACCATTTCAATATGCTATATTTAAATTTCACTTGGAAAAAAAGGTGATAATCATCAAAGTGATGTCAACATTTTTAAAAATTTTATTAGTATGGAGATTCTTTTTTTAAAATCACTTAAACATTACGTTGGTATAAATGAGTGACTAATAATTGAAAGATTGTTTTTGGCGTTAGATTTTCAGGAGAAATGTCATTTATTCTTCTAAGAATTTGCTTAACAAAACTACTTAGAAAATAATGTTTATACACCTTCAAGTATTTTTCATTAGTCTTTTTTTCGCTCTTCAAAGATTCAAGAATAGAGATAGGTGCACTAGAACTGATAACAATACAGAGTGTCAGTGCTACACTGAAATAAATTCAAGATGTAAAAAAAAAGGCATTCCATTGCCTGAAAGTGGGAAAAAATGCAAAATCCCACTGTAATTTACCTCATTCTATAAGAGCCAACTTACTCAGCAAGAAACAGGTTGAAATAGATATGGAAAACCATACAAAGAACATTGAACTAAAATCACACTAAAATAATTAGTTTAAGGATCAAAATATAGAATATCTTATCTGTGCAAAAGTGAAAGATATTAATGTCAGTAATCTATATCCCTGTGAAATGGGTTGACTTTTAAATGTCATCATGAATCTCTGTTAAATTTTAATTCATTTTCATATAATCAGATTTAGTTTTTTTTTTTTCCTGAAGCCTTTTGAATTGTACAGAGCCAGAGTTTTATTTCTGTGTTTGAGAGATGGTAGAGATAGAAGTAGACAACAAACTAAAATAGAGCTGGGGTCCCTGAAATCTAAATTACATATTCAAGTTCCACCAACACACACGTCTCTCATGTTGGAGGGCATATTCGGTTGCCTTTTCTTTGAAGATTAATGAGCATTTTCATGATCTAAATTTCAAGTATCCTGTTGTTGGCACCTGCCTATTTACCTCCTTGCTGCAGATATGCCTTTTAAAAACTTCTTATGCTCTCTCTTGCTCTTTTTCAAAAAAAAATGTTTTTCTTATTGTTTCTTCTATACTTCCTCTTGTTATGGGATGATCCATATTAGTTTTTCTTTTCTAATACTTCTGTCTTTCTCCAAAGTCTGATTCTTTTTCCTTCTCCAAACATAGTCATTAACTACTGGACTATTATTTATCTACCATCAATCAACAAGTTTAAGTACTTAAACTTGACTGCAACCATTGAGTACTCCAATCCCCCACTCCTCATTCTGCCTGTGTTAAATTATTCTGCTATATTTTAAGGTTTTATTGGGGAGGGGAATAGATTTCCTAATACTTAATCACCTGTTCTGAATAATAACCCACTAGATTTCCAGGACATGATAATGCCTGTTAACCATCAAATAGCCTTCGTTGGCACTATTCTCAATCCTTTTCCTCTCTGAAATTCCTATTATTCATCACCAGAGGTTTATCTCCCGCCATGTATCTAGTTAGTTAGAATGCTTTTCTATTTGCTTATGTTCCAGTTTAGCAGCCACCCACCTCTCTGTCTTCCTAACTAAAAACTTATCACCTCACTTATGATGTACAGTTTCCCCGTGTACTGGTTCGAATGGTTCAGTCCCAATTTTGCTCCAGTAGACACAGAATAAATAGCACGTGTGCTTTCTGTTTTCATTTTTGTGTTAGTGGGTTAGCAGCTCAAGGTCAAATGCCATCTAGATGTTTAATACTAACCCTGAGACAAGGACCCATCTTCAGATGATGGGTGCAACAGTGGTAAGAAAGACTTCAGTGATAATGGGAATGGGGTGTTTTTTACTACCATGAGTGGAATTTACTGACCAGGAAGTGTTCCCATGAATGTCACACCCCACATGTGACTTAAGTAGTCAATACATGAGTACCCTTTATTGTTAATAATGACAGGGTGGGGCCAGTGCTGTGGCATAATAGGTTAAGCCTCCGCTTGTGGTGACAGCATCCTATATGGATGCTGGTTTGTGTCCCAGCTGCTCCTTTTCCAATCCAGGTCTCTGTTTATGGCCTGGAAAAGCAGTGCAAGATGGCCCAAGGGCTTCAGCCCCAGCACCCATGTGGAAGACCCAGAAGAAGCTCCTGGCTTATGGCTTCAGACTGGCTCAGCTCTGGCCATTGCAGCCATTAGGGAAGTGAACCAGTCAACGCAAGACCTCTCTCTGTCTCCTTCTCTCTGTCTGTAACTCTGCCTCTCAAATAAACAAGTACATCTTAAAAAAATAATGACAGGACATTAACAGATGCTGCGCATTTATGCTCTCCTCTCATTATTTAAATCATACACAACCTTGAAATCCTAGATGAGCTTCAAATGCAAATACACTGATGTTACTAACAACCCAGCCCACGGAGAGATTCAATTGCCCTTTTATGGTTCCATAGCTCTCCTTACAATACATTTTTATACCTACTTATATTTTCAGTGCTCTTCAGTTTTTCCGACAACTTTTCTATATTCTGTTTTTAAGAAGCATTTTTTGAAATATTTTATCTTCTGTTACCCCCAGCATGGTACTAAGCACCCCTAAAGAATTTTCTATATATTCCATGATATTGCTGTAGATTTCTGCTACTCATACAAATAAATGCCTGGCAAATATTATAGCGAAATCTTAATATTTTAAAATGTAGTGGATGTGTCTAACAGAATAGAGAAGAAAATGGAAATCACTCCCACTCTGCACAGCTTTCACCATTAAAGTATTTATCAATCACTTAGATGATAGCATCTGTCTTTTCCTCTTGCACTAATGCATTGCACAGTACCTAGGTGCCCCAGAATGTCAATGTGCCTTTCTGAAATACTAAATTATCCACAGGGGCTGACTCAGAAGTCTTAAAACTTGAGAATCTTAAAAAGTGTAATTGAACGTAGACATGGAAGTTTAAGCCATCTCTTGGAGAAACGTTTATGTAGACCTATAATAGATGGCATTAGTAGCATTTAACTTATCCTAGACTAAAAATGCAAAAAAAAAAAAATCCCAGTCTAATTTTCTTCCTTAATTGCTCAGTACTCAAATCCCCAATGGATTCCTTCATAATAATGCAATTTACATTTTTTCGATTTTAATTGATTTTAGTATTGCAAACATCTTAGCTGGTTCATTGCTCCCTATGGCATTAGAAAGGTATACCTCAATGAGAGCTGTTCTATATTAAATCAGTATATCAATACACCTTGCATTAAGAAGCAAGGGCCTTAGAGAATCTACGAATCAAAGAGAAAAGAAAAATGGTTGCTGAACTCCAGCTTTCCCAAAACAAGCGCATTAGTGGAAAAACATCATAAAAGTTTCCTTTGTGCTGAGGGAAACATAAACAAAAGTGCACAGCATGGTAAATATCTGCCTGCCCCATATTGATAGAAAGCATTAAAATGTTATCTCTGGGGCAGGAAATTCAAATGGCACATCAAAGTAACGTGTAAGACATGTGAATAAAAAAGACAATGACCTTGTTTATGACCGTCATTTCCTCCATAAGTGAGGAACATAAATGTAGCCCCTGCCTTTCTCACAGGGATACAAATAATCCCAGTTTATGACCTGCTTACACTCGAAATTTGTTCGTGGAAATCATTGATTGTATGTTAATATGCATATCAGAAATACTTCCCAGTGAACAAGATCCTCAAGACAGATTTTTTTCCTCAATAAAGTAAAATACTGGTTATATTACACTATCTTTTCTATCATTGTTTTACTGAAAGAAAATGAAGAAAAAAGGGAAGAAAAAAAGGAAGGAAGGGAGGGAGGAAGAGATACGAATGGAGGACGGAAGGAAAATACTTTTTACACAATACAGCCCCAATAATCTCTTCTACCTGTTGTGACTGTGATAATGGTCATAATACTGATATCAAACACTTATTTTCAGTGAATAATACTTCCTGTGCTTTTTTCCTCACAAGATCGACCTGTGCTGATATTATTTGCATTCAAGAGAAAATGAAAGTATGAATTAATAGCACGTGTCTGTCTCTAGCATCATACCATTTTACCTGGCTCTCCTGTTGTGAGTGGGGAGTGATCTCTCTCCATAGGGTTGAACCTCTGGATAGAAAATAAGATTCGGGAGGCATTGGGGAAATACATCGTGGAAGAGAAGCATCCCTATGTTGTTTAATGATGATGTTACATGAGTGTAGCATAGACTAGGCAGAGTCGTGCTGTGAGCATAATCTCGCCAAAGCATTAACATTAACACAAGTGTCTCCCAAAACTGTGAGCCTATGAAGTGAGAGAAAGGCTGATTTCTGCTGCTAACACTAAGCAGAAAGCCTACAGAGAACCACTGAAAGGGAGGTATGGTGATGAATAGCTCTGTATTAGAGGAAAAGTGACTGATATCGGATGTTGGTGGTGACAGTGTTTCCAAAAGCTGAATGAAAAAGGTAACGTATGGCTATAATTCCAAGCATTATAGACCATTTTTACTGAGACTGTGAAGGCATTGATTTGTTAGAACTTATTTAAAGTTTTAAACATAGCATAGCCGTCTACATATAGTGTATTGCACAATGATGATACCACCATAAGGAAGGAAAATCCTGGTCACTGTGATCTCAGGGAACATATATTAGAGTTTGTCTCAAAAAATATATCCCTCTCCTTTTCAGTTACATCTGAAAGTTGCTCATTTAGGATTTTACATAACATATAAATCAGGAAACACCTCACTTTTGATGATTAAAGTTGTTATTAATTTCGAATCTGTAGATGAGGGCGTGTTTCATCAGAAGAATAATCATGAAGCCTGAAGCCTGGAAAGAAAGAATATGGCAGTCGTAAGCAGGTGGATTCGTCACTGAAACAGCTAAGCTGATTTGTGTTATTTGTGCTTGGACTTCTTATGATGAAAACTCCTGGAAATAGTACAGTATGTCCTATGATTTTCACAAACTAAAAGATCTGTTAGGGTTGTTATTCAATAAGTTACATTTTTAGCTTGCTGACAGCAAAACCATAATTTAGAACTAATTATCAGGGATTATGTATGTTGTGATCTTTCACTGTAAACCCATAGTGAACATTTCTTCATTTGCACCTGAGACATCCTCATACTAATTATGAACATATAATGGTTACATATAAAACCTAACAAAATAAAACTTAGAATTGTTCAAGGGCCTGTATATATAATATATACATATACATATGAAATATATAAACCTATACATATATAAAATTGACTAGTTTATTTGTTCCTATTGACTTTCTACTCAAATCCTAAGAATATAAACAGTTCAATTGACTAACTATGCTCTGGTTATAAGCATTTAGAAGGTAGATTTTATTACTTATTTCACTGAGTTGAAAAAATATACAGATAATCCAATTATCCTTATAACATTTTTAAAAAAGATTTATTTATTTATTTATTTATTTGAATGTCAGAGTTACACAGAGAAAGGAAAGGCAGAGAGAGAGGTCTTCCATCCACTGGTTCACTCCCCGACTGGCCACAATGGACGGAGCTTCGCCAATCCGAAGTTAGGAGCCAGGAGCTTCCTCCAGATCTCCCACATAGGTGCAGGGGCCCAAGGACTTGACCATCTTCTACTGCTTTCCCAGGCCATAGCAGAGAGCTGGATAGGAAGTAAAGCAGCCAAGTCTCAAACCGGCGCCCATATGGGATGCTGGTGCTTCTGGCCAAGGCATTAACCTACGGCGTCACAGTGCCAGCCCCCCTTATAGCATTTTTCTGCAGTAGGAATTTTTTAAAAGTCTAAAATGAATAAAACTTGCTTTGCAAGTTAGAAGACCTGTGGAAGTTAGGTCCTATAGGAATCTTCTGCATAAGATGTAGAGATCAAAGTTCAGCTTACGTAGCTCAGCAATATTGCCATCACTGATTTATTTTTAACTTTTGTTCAATAAATATAAATTTCCAAAGTACAGCTTTTGGATTAAAGTGGCTTTTCCCCCCCAATAACCTCCCTCCCACCCTCAGCCATCCCATCTCCCACTCCCTCTCCCATCCCATTCACATCAAGATTCATTTTCAATTATCTTTATATACAGAAGATCAATTTAGTATATATTAAGTAAAGATTTCAACAGTTTACACCCACACAGAAACACAAAGTATAAAGTACTGTTTGGTTACTAGTTATACCATTGATTCACATAGCACAGCACATTAAGAACAGAGATTCTACATGGGGAGTAAGTGCACAGTGACTCCTGTTGTTGACTTAACAAATCGACTCTCTTGTTTATGGCGACAGTAATCACCCGAGGCTCTTGTCATGAGTTGCCAAGGCTATGGAAGCCTTTTGAGTTCGCCAACTCTGATCTTATTTAGAAAAGGCTTAATCAAAGTGGAAGTTCTCTCCTCCCTTCAGAGAAAGGTACCTCCTTATTTCATGGCCCATTCTTTCTGCTGGGATCTCACTAACAGAGATCTTTCATTTAGGTCATTTTTGTTGCCACAGTGCCTTGGTTTTCCATGCCTGAAATACTCTCAGGGGTTTTTAGCCAGATCCAAATGCCTTAAGGGCTGATTCTGAGGCCAGAGTGCTGTTTAGGACATCTGCCATTCTATGAGTCTGCTGGCTATCACTGATTTAAACCCAGGGAAGTTGTTCTATTGATAATGAAGCATATGGCCAATGAATGAGCAGACAAGAAGTCAATTATCAAAGAATTTTATCATAAAAAGCAAAGAGACAGAAATTTCTCTGCCTGGTAGACCAGAAGATATCTCCATAAAGAAGAACTCAGTCTGCATTCAGACTGGGGTTTCTATGGACATGAGTGCAAGCCTCCAATTTCTTCTTCCCTCCACCCTCTTCTGGAGAAATGTGGGTGCGGGAGTTTCAGATGTGGAATTCCCCTAAACAATCTCCTGTAGACAATACTGGCCAGCCGAGTTCTTATCTATTGGAGAAGCAAATGACTCCTTCAGTCCTTCAGCCCAGTGATTATGACCTGGTTGGATCAGCTGTATTGCTCCCTCAGTTCAGTGAATCCTTTTGGATAAAGGACTGGCAAGGCCACCTTGGGGTATGGGAAACATACAGGAGGCTGGGTCCTAGATTCAGGACTTGTTTCCTTGTTCCATTGCACATAAATTTATTTTCCTTAAAACTCCTCATTTTCTTCAGCCCCTCTTACACACATGGGCTACCTAGCTGTGCCTTAAAACTCCACCCACTCAAGAGAAGTAGCCCATAATCTAATGGGGGGTACATGGAGGTAGATCTCAATTTCTGTATCTTCTCCAAGCTGACATATGGGTACAGAGATGTTCTGTGATTATTCTTCTCTTGCAATCTGTCCTTTGATGGTCGAAGGTGGCCATGGAAAAGATTGTCTTGTGTGGTTCAGAGAACTGGTCACAACACCTGGTGGGATAGGCTGGAAGTCCTGCCTTACAGCCATCTGGAATAGGACTGCTTTTATTCTGTTAGAGGCAAAATGAATGAAGGCACTAAAGACACATGGTCTAAAGAGAGGCGGTGAGGATATGAACTCTAGAGCCAAGGAGGGACAACAGCCAGAATTTCCATGGCCAGATATTAGGCCAGAATTTTCAGTCTTGTTCAGCCTGGTCCTGAATTTGTCCAGCCTTCTCCAAGAGTGTGTGAACATGGATTTGTACCTGTCTTGTTTGACCAAAAAACATTTTTGATGTATGGCATAGACACTTCCTTGAGCAGCGGTTTGTGTGTTTAACTGACTGCCTGTTTTGAAGGACTGGGTTTAGCTACCCTAGCACAGCGGACCTGGTATTTTCCTAGGCCAATTTTTGTTCCCCAGGGATAAGGATGAAGGCTAAATGTTTTTACTTCCTGACAGACCAGTGTGTTTGGTTTTGCTTACACATCCTGTAGCTTTGTTCTGCTAGGAAGTTAACAGTGTTAATCTAATGCCTAAAATTGGAATATCAGGTGGGGGAACAGATAAGCAAACAATCTACAGAGTATATCATTTTTTTTCTCCCCTCTCAAAAGATAGATTAATTATTTCCATGAGGGCCTGCCCAAGTAGGTACAACACTGTCTATAAATCCTTGTGGTCACATTGTCCAGATAAGCTGTTCCTTTATGCCCTCTTTGTTAAAGGATTTTAAAGGCAAACAGAAACTTCAGGAGGGGCTTGATGATACGTAGGTAAGAATTAAAGGCTGGCCAGGTATATGTGAGGTCAGACCCATCTATCGCTACCTGGGGTACTGGGGTACCCGCTTACAAAGAAGTTTTGAATTTCCTTAGAAAATATACTCCACTGACTCCCGTTACCTGGCTGATCTTGGAAGAGAACTGGCCTGAATATAGAAGGTTAATATAGAATGGGTGGCATCTCTAAAAAAAAATCTACAGTTCTAAGCCCACTGACCCTAAGTAATCCTCTCAATGGTTACTTTGGAAGCTGGGCAGGGCAAAGGCCTTTTTCAACTGAAGAACAGCCAATAGGATATGCAGGTCTGAACCTGGGTTCCTTCCACCCCAGGGCAGTGCTGTTTCCAATGGTCCAGCTCTTGGCAGAGCTGACAGGGCTCTGTAGAAACTGGCTTCTGTCATGACAGCTATTTGTCCAATTGCCTGACTTCCCGCATCAAAAGTAGGTGCTATTTGGCTATGGACTGGCCTTGTTAGGTCTTCTTGAAGGAAGAACAGTTTGTAAATCAGCTATTAATTGACCTGCCACCTGTTCTTATATTGCTCTTGTAGCCCAATTCACTTCTCTTCCTCTTGGTCTCTGTTAAATTGGACTATTGAAGCAACCTTTAGGATTTAAGCCAAGGGGGTGTTCAGGCTCATCCCTAATCTTTAGTAGACATCTATAGTCACAGGCATACTTTTATGGTATTTTTTTTTAATTCTATGAGATGCCCATAAGGAGAACTATGTCCTTCTAAGACCAAACATGATGACTACTATATACTACGTGCCTATAAATTTTGAGGTCATGAGTAAAACATTATTTCTTTCTTAGTTTTGTTTTAAAAGGAGAGTTCTGCCCACTTATTGTGGCTACAAGAGAATAAATCTAGCTGTAAAATAATCAGAGTTTAACTCTAATTTTTTTGGCTGTGCTCTTTGGTCTTTTGAATGTGTCCAGGCATTAATGCAGAAAAAGGCTAGGGATCAAACTGTACAGTCTACTGGATAGTCCTTCAGAATAGAGTCAGTTTCCCTTCTAGAAGAGAATAGAGGGGGAAAGAGGCAGCATGTCAGGCCTCACTGACTGCATAGCCCATCTTCATGGGCTTTCAGACTTCACTGGTGCTCACCAAATAACCATACTTACTGGGCCTTTGGACTTAACCAGTGTTCATTGTGTAGCCAGTGGGCTATGTGCCTGGGTTGGTGAACTTAACTAATATCCATGTAACACTTACTAGAGGTTTTGGGGTTCACAGGTCCCTGCTATCTAGTATGTAGGTCTCTTTTGAAACTTTCATTTCTTTTTTGCTGTATCTCCATTTGATCCACATTTTGACCTGGCAATGCCTGGCTATTTTCTGCCCTTTTATTTTTTCTTCTTCTTTGGCTGGTTACTGACCCTGGAACATAAAACATCAAACATTTATATAAGTACAGTGTAAATCTGACAACATTTTATTTAACTCAACGATGTATTTTACACAATGTAAATGAATTTTTAAAATATGAAAATAAGATCTTAGACCCTTACAAGAGTAATCCATTTAACCTAAATATTTAACTGAAGCCATGGAGCAGAACTAATGAAAGTTACAGTAATCACACATTTTTTTAAACAGGCAGATATTGCTAAATCCTTTAAGACTCAGTTTTCCCAAACAATCAAAACCCAGTGACAACAGAAAAACATTTGATATCTTCCCTTAAGATGCATAAAATTCTCCTTATTTAGATTGGTTATAAAAACATAAACACTTTGATTAGA